GCTACGTGCAGGCGTCAATTTTTACGGTCCATTTTAGATTGAGCCTGGTGACTTGAGCCACCCTATATATGGGTGTAGTAAATGATTCTTCTCCAGCTGTGATCTAGTGGCTGGGTCAAAGAATAGGTGACATTGTTTAATGTTTTTCATAGCAGCTGCTCTGTGTTCTGCATCCGGATGTACAGTCGGGGACAAAAGTCCCCAGGACGTGCGAGCTGTGGCTGAAACGCATTGCTCTGCCATCTGCCGGCGGGTCGCCTGGTTTCGAGACCACGCAAAAGCGCATGCGCGTCCTACTCTGCCTGCAAACCATGTCTGTTTTCCCGCTCTTCTGCGGCACAGCGCCTAACTCGGAATCGGGCGCGTGGTACCACCTCGGAGATAGCGCTGGCGGTTGACGAGCTTTCTGCTACACATTCCGAAACTCGCGATACCGCCTGGGGCATTGCGCCGCATTTCGCCGTGTCAGCGCACCTTACTTTATAACCAGTTGAGCTTATCGCTCAGTTGAGCTGCCGTGTCTTCTTGCTTTATAGGTGCCATCTCAGTAAGCGCTATCTCCGAGGCGGTACCATGCGAGTGCGAGCTGGGTTTCGAAAGATTATTCCCCAGTACAAACACCCGAGCGGCGGAGCAGAAAATAAAAGCGGGGTGCTCGCGCTCGCAGGATAGCATGACACCTGTGATTTGTGGATTCTGAAAGTTGCCCGTTTCTTTTCACTGCACTCTGCGAAACCGGGTGTCGGCGCAGAGTCGTTCTGTGTCAGCGGAGATCCCGACGTCTTCTCTCTTCGATCAGATTGGCGCTCACTCACCAGTCATATTTTTGTCCAGAAGGAAGTGCAATAGCTGTACTTGTGTCTCAATTATTAGCTCAATTTAAATAGTTCCTTGGTAGCCGCAGTCAACGCGTCCATGCCTTGGTAACCGAACGATCATTGCTGCTGATTTGCTATTGACGCCACTGTCAACGAGACGCCGAGATTGAACGGTTCTATTTCACGATTTAAATGTTGTTTCCAACATTGTGACATCGCGGTTTGCTGATTGGTCGACGCATTGTTACATATTTAGTTTACGCTCTAGCCGTGGGGGGAAAATTCGGCGCTGGCGGCGGCCTTTCCTTTGCCTATTGGCCAGACTCTCCCAATATATGGCTCTGCTCTAGCGTGTTTTCCAGCATGAATTTACTGCGTTTGTCAGAGCTTGGAGCCCCGAATCCTGGATAGAAGTGCGGAGCTGGGAGTAGTACCGTATGAGGGCACTGCCTGTAAGCGTCAGGAACACGCTGGCGAAGCCTCGGCCCCAACTTGACGACGCTCAAGTTCCGGGCGGGTCTCCTGTGGCGCGAGATCACAGGAGACAAATTCATACTTTCGCTTCTTGGAAAATGTGCCGCCGGCACCATGCCTCGTCTACTAGGATCTGCGGGAGCGCCTGCGCTGGCCTGCGCCGCCTCTTGCACCGTTTGGTGGCGGGTGTTTCGACAGGTCCTTCCGCGTTGTTTCTTGTTTCCATACTTCCTAACTGCATTTGTTTCTTTTCTCATCTAAAATACTGAACAAAAACTACTTTCATAAATAATTGAAACGGTTTGCACCACTTATATTTTGTATTTCGGCTTAAAAATGCTTTTAGTGGCTCTGACTAGTCGTAAGGCCGGAGCTGACTGGGACCGACGACATTACGAATCCATCACATGCCGCACACGTTCTGTACTACGGGGCATCCCCATAGGAGGAGGAGGTTTCCACATCGTCAGGTTAAAATATGATGCACTGATATTTAGTGACTCTCTGCACCCCACTGAAAACCGCAAGAAATGCGGGAACAAAAAAGGTAGACGCTAAAATAGGACTGACGAGCCCTTTAAAGGGACACTGACGGTATTTTTGCTCGTCGAGGTTTTAATGTAGAAATATTTCTATTTGAACATGACCTATGAGAGCCCATCTACCCAGAACACAATTTTCGGCTCAAATTTTGTATTCTTTCCGCCCGAAGAGCGCCGGTTGAGAATTGGCCGGTTTCAGGTGTGCTCACCCTCTTTCTATGATCACATGCCGTTCAAACTGATGCATACCAAATACAAATGCTTTACTAATCGAAAAAAGGACACACTCCACATTCGGATTGGACAGAACGACGGCTGCGCCGTAAACAAACCCCTGGTGGAGTAGTTTATTTAGCGATGCCTCTCTCCCCCACCCGCCTCCTCTCGCCACCACTGCACGTGAAGCAGACGCCTCGGAATGTGGTGCGGTTGACGGGGTCGCGGATCCGAAGACGGTACCGCTGCCACTGTCACGCGTTTTTCCGCAGATTCACATTGTCGTCTTTTTCAATGTATTCTCGGGGTGCGTCCTGTATTTTCGCAGTGAAGTATTTTATATACAAAGTCATGGATCATCTAACACACTAAAATAGAAAAGAACATGAACCCCATTTTTTGTGGCTTTTAAGAAGCTGCAGATACATTTATCGAAAAAAAAAGAAAATGTTCCACAGATCACAATACATGGAGTTATTGCAATAAACGCTACAAGCTCAGCTGGCGCTATTGTCTTTGGGACTTCCGGTTGCAAATTGAGGCAGACAGCAAACAGTCTATTTTTCCTGTCTTCCTGTGGGAAAACGTATGTGATATTTCTCTCCTCGCCAGGGAATAACAAATCAGCGTAGTTTCTTTACTCGTGACGGGTACTATGAAGCTTTATTCACATTTTACAAATTTAATTGATTTAGTTGATTTTGTTCACTATTGAGCAATGTTTAAGTTAGCGAAAATTGAGACCCAGGTCTGGGCTGTACAGCATGATATGTCAATATAAGCTGTCAATTCAAGCAAAAAGAACAATGATCGCATTTATTTCAGAGCAACAACACTTGGTTACTGCTTTATTTTGATTATTCTTGCACAGTTTAGAACTCATCCAGTATGTGTTCTTCGTTCCATAACTCCATGCTTTATTCTTGTCTGTTTTGATTGTTTGATTTGGCATATATTAGCATCCTTTTGGTGTTTTGCCAAGCTGATTCACTCTGTGTGCTTCATAACATTGAGTATAGGCATAAATGTGTGCCCTATAATAGCAATCTGCAACATCAACACGTATTATACATGCGCATTGGGCTGTTTTAGCACAGTGTTCGACGCCATGAATTCTAAAGAATAACACTCCGACATATTTTTGCACATCCGATTGCATTCCAAACTTCTTATTCTGTCACAACACTAAGCAATATTTTCTCTTATGATTGAGCTTAAAAAGAAAATGCATTTGCGTTTTCCCATAGGAATGCATTACCGGAAGTCAAATTTAGACTGGTTGCTGTCTGATTCAAAATGCAACAGTACACTAGCGCCACCTGAACCTGTAGCGTTTATTCTTAATAAATCTATGGATTCATACCATTACATTGCGTAAGAACAGGATGCGTACACTAGTTGTTGTATTCTTTCAGTGAAAAATGTAAACTCGTATCATATCGTATCAGTAACGTTACTAAAGTCTAGAACATTTAGTTGGGAAACTCACAATTGAAACCTGAACCACTCGCATCCACTGAGATCAAACTAAATTAAAGCCCCTCTGTCGAGGGAAAAGTGGCGCCATTCATTGTCGTGGAAATGCTCGAGACACGTGCCGCGCGCCACTTCGGGGAGAACATGGCGTCTGAAATCTAGCTCAGTGCTGTTGGACAAGATCTCAGACTGGTATAAAAAATGGCAGATGCTCATTAATTAACACCAACAAAACAGCAGCCAAGTCCATATAAGTAGTAAGAAAAACAATGAATCCTTCTTATAAGATCGACGGAAACATTATACGAAACTTGCACGAGTTCAGATACCTGGGTGTCTTGTTCACAAGCGGTCTAAATTGGGGCATGCACATGCCCCAATTCAGACCGTGTCACTGGCCAAAAAAGCGCTAACGAAATTACGGTGCTTAAGAAGGCAACTAAAATACGCATTTCGCAATACTAAACTGTTGGCCTACACAACACTTATTCAGCCTGTGCTTGAACATGCTGGCCCTGTTTGGTTTCCCTTCACAAAAGCTAACACACAAAAATTGGACAGAGTGCAGAGGCTCGCTGCAAGGTTCGTTACCAATAAGTTCGGCACGTACGATTCGCCATCTGAACTGTGTAGAGGGCTCGGCGTGGAGCCATTAGAAAAAAGAGCGAAGCTCACGAGAATGAAACTAATTTACCAAATTGCCAATAACTTGACTAAAATAAAAAAAATTCAACTACTTTACTCCCCACAATCGAAGAGCAACCCATTCAAACCATGGAAAATTATTCTAGGAGTTTCAACCTAAAATAATTGCTTTAAATTTTCATTATTTCCGCTAGCAGTCCAGGAACGGAACAGTGCCTAAACACGTCCACGCGAGCTTGCTAACACAGTTCATGAATAATGTCAAAGCGCTCTTGATGTGAAAATTTCATCCACACTGTTCGTTTCACATGTTTGTTACCCTCTGTTTTCTCTGTACTGTGGTTATGCATGTGTTCTTGTACCACCCTACAAAACTCTTCCAATGAGGATTAGTAGTATTGATAAATAAGTAAACAAATAAAGAAGATAACGGTCAGTTCTGGAACTGCCATGTAGGTTCGGACCGCTAGGCTTACATTTGGGTGAAGAATGAGCGTTTGGCGGTGCATAGTTTACTTTTGTAATCAAAACAAAAAGCTGGAATTTTTTTTCTTTTTTTGTGGGACATTTTGTAGTTACAAATTACTTTTGGCTGGAGCAGAGCATGGACTCTATTCACCCGATACAAAGAGAATGGCCACCATAATACCATACAATCCAAACGTGAAATTGACCTGGCGGTCAATTTCACGGCGACAAAACTGCCCCAGTGAGGTCCCAGCATGGCACAAGATGGCAAAATAAGAGCTTTCTAGAGCGATGCTCTGCCAGTTGCATATTTACTTCACTAAGACCTGCAATGGCTGAAAAACAACAATATAACACTGTGGAAGCTCAAATTGTCAAGCTTTATTTGTGAAACATTTATACAGGTGTCTGATTACACATTTATAATCTGCAAAATTTATTCAATGCAAACAAGAGTAAAAAAAATATCCACAACGAAGATATATATAAACCCATTATACAATGCAAAACTAAATACTCACTGAGCAAGAATCTACAGGATCCAGTACAAGACATCTGGCGTACATGACACCTACGGTCAAACAATTTTGACATGCAGAGCCAGGCAACACGGAAACAACCACCGGGAACAAAAGCACAGAGCAACAGAATATTGTGATCACCTAAACACGAGAGAGCGATATCACAAAAGCAGGTGTCATTTAATACAGTATTACGAAGATGCCAGTGCGGGGAAGGAAGGCAAGAACAGTTTGAGTATTAGCGAGTTCAAGTCAGTTCAGTTCTCACCACCTTTCGTCAAAACAGCGTTGGACGTGCATTACACAGTATTAAAAATCGGTGGGCTGTCAATCCATAGTAAAACCTGTTCGGTGGTGTGGGAATTCGACTATACTCGTGCCAGTACCTTTCACTGCGTCGCGAAGAGAACGCAGAGCTGATAAAATGTTGTGCTGTCATGAAACATCACAAGATAGGACCGCGAGCAAGTAGCCGACACCTCATCTCGCTAGCGCTAATGCTCGGGGAAACTATACCGGCGCCACACAGTGGCATCTGCTTCGAAGGCCTCACGGGGAAAGCGCCGCATTTGCCACTACACCCCTTCTAGAACACTGTAGTGCAACCAATCAAACCGCAGCTCCACCGCGACGTGACGTCACAAGGGTGCTACGCCAGTGTTGTCTGACTGAAAGCTAATCCGCTTGTCGCCCGTTAAGAGCAGCTGGTCGTATATTTAAAATCGGTTTACTGTAGAACGCAGCTTTACTTTTACGTAATATTTCGGCTGTGATCAAATTTCATGCCACTAAAGCAATATCAGTCATTTATTTTGATTTCATTTTCGACCCGAGTTGTCCTCTGTTAAAAAAACAAAAAAACACTATGGACACCGATGGAATTTATTAGGCAGAACTTCATAACAAACATCAGTATGCAAATAATAATTGATTTCTAACAAAATAAAACCCCCGCCGAGCTTGTTCAAGAAATTCCCAGGCTTGCATTTACGGTTCCAGCTAACATAGTTTTAAATTTTTGTACTCATTCTCCTATTGAACAAACCGAATATACTGTAAAATACCAGAGGAGCACCCAGCCCCACACTCACTGAAAACTAGGTAAGGTAATCTAGACATGGGCGCTTGTCCGGCCGAATCGAGCGGGGAATGAATAATTCGCAGAATTCCCAAGTTTGGAAAATGTTAACAAGATTGAAAGATGGGCTAGTTGGTACATCGTCGGACGGAAGCGCCGAACAGGGACAAAGAAGTAGACAAACACCCAATCACAACTGAAGGTTTCTTAAAAAAAAATGCTATTAATATCGCCTATCGGGCTCCTCGCATAGAAAGATTCAATCTGTCAGGTGCAGTCACGGTGCAATGACACACATGCTTTCTCCTTGCTGTCTATTGCAAAATGCCTCGTAAATTCCTTGGGCGGTTTTGTCTGCACAACGGGAATTGTTCTTTCCGATTCCGAATCGCATGGGCACTTATTCCAGTGCACTGCGAAATTGCCCGATGGGAACTGTACAAATGACCATGCATGTTCTCTAGCCCTCTTGTTAATAGCGGGTGCTTGAACCAAGTGGGAGCTTCAGCCGTATTTTACGGTATATAAACGTAATAATTGAAGGAGAGTTGACAAAAAATAAACATATAAAGCAGTTCATAAAAGTTATTTTGCAATGTTCAAGTATCCTCGATGAATCTTGCATGTGAAAAAGGTATCGTCAGAATATCGTCACCGAAAAAAAAAAAATGTCCAGGTTTTTTTTCACTATAAAAATACACAATGCATTGCCGAATGCTCATTTTCCGCCCTAAGGTAGCACTAGAGGTCCGATCTAGATACCGAGTTTCAACCCGAACTGATGTTTTATTCAAAAGTTGCAAGTGATTTTCTAAAAATGTCAATGGCGAAATGATGACCGACAGAGCACTCAAATGCATGGAGCTCTATAATGCCAGGAACCGAAAATGGGCAATAATGAGCCTGATTTTGCCCATTGAAATCTTCAGAAAATCACTTATAACTTTTTAACAGAATAGTGGTTTGTGCTGAAACGTTGGCATCTGGTTTCGATCTCTAGCGGAACCTTTGGGCGGAGAATGAGCGTTCAGCGACGAGTAGTTCGTTTTTGCGGTGGAAAAAATCCCATAAATTATTTTTAAACACACTGCATACAACTGCCGTTTTTGTTTTCCCCCCCGAAACTGTATGTAACATTCTTCTTTGGCGTAGTGCTTTCCCCTTAGCATCCGGATGCACCGCGGCAAAGAAAGATATGCCGAATTTCGACTGATCTGTTATATTTTGGCAGTGACCATTTCAACGTCCACCATTATCTCTTAAAATTATTTTGACGTCCGTGACGTCACTTCGTAAAATGTCAAAATAGTGACTTTATTAGTTCGATGTCCCCTGTGAATGCAGCTGCCGTCGCACTGGTAGTCATTTCATGGCTTCGTCAGTTTTGTTCTGTTTAGTTTCTGATGGTGTTGTTGGCGCTGTGTTGACGGAATCATGTGTCACTATTTCGTACTACTTGGCACTGAAAACTTATTATTCAGCGTGCGTGTGCTCGACTGGCTTGACAGCCGATCCTTTCAGACATGACACTCCCGGCAGCTATGTTCTGAGCTCTTGAATTCACAACAAAGGCAAGCTGGACATTCCTCCACAACATAACCAATGTAAGAGCATACACTATGCAGGATGGAGAGCTTGGCACACTTTGCGTACCTCCACACCTCCACCTTTTACCGTGTGATCGCATCTTCCTATGGTTATAGCCTCGTCCCACTAGAGCGACAAACACTGATTTTTGTTCGACGACACCACAAAGTTCCGTGTCGCCGATGCTGTCCCACTGCAACGACCAACACCCGCGACAATCGCCGACACGCGCCGACAAACGATCGACGACGGACGAGTTCTTGTCTGTCGTTGGACTTGAAACGCAGCAAGCAGTCCCACTGAGGAACATGTCTCGGAGACAAACTTATCCTCCTCGCCCGCTTATGCCTTCTGTTGCCTTCCAGGCCCTCCCTTCTAACCTTCCTCCCGGAATGAGAAGCCCTTGGCGGCCACTCCTCGTTCCCGGCCCCGCAGTTCCGGTCCCTCGATTGCACGTAGTGGTCGCAGGCGCGGCTTGCTTGCTGGCGCCGGACGATTTTGCTCGCGAAAACTTGGTGCGCGAGATGGTGCTTCAAGATGCCGAGGTCTACGCCCCTGCATCAGGATGGATACACTCATGTTCGAGAACTGACCAAAGTAAGACCGCTCACCACGAAGTAGGACACGACGTTCCGAAGCAAGCCATTCTGGCAGACGAGAGACTGTCATCGCGTTCTGTGATAATCGGGATGCCGTACTGTCCTCCAAAAAACGCCTGCCCTCGATCATTCGGATATGAGGTTATAAACATCCTCAAAATAGGCGTGAAATTCCGTGGTGCTCACCTAGAATTCCTCGAGCAACCCAAAAAAAGGAACGATTCGGGTATTCTAGTTCGGAAAAAGTTGGGTGTCGATTGTCACGACTGTTTACAGAAAGTCGCCAACGGCAAATGAAGAATACGGAAGCTTTAATCAAGAAATAAAGTAATCGTCTCCACTTTCACCGTGTCTGTCGGCGCGTTTTATGCCCAAAGAGCAAAACACGAAAACCGTGTCGCCAGACTCAGTTTGTCTGTGTATTTTGAAGTGTTTTGTTGACAACTCCAGTCCTACTAGGAAACAAGTTTTCTTGTCCCCGTGTTCTGTGTCGTGTACGCCAAGTGGTACGGCGGACTCCGACAAACAGGCCGTCTGTCGGTGTCGTCTGTCGCTTGTTGTCGTGTGTCGCTGTTGTTTGTTGCTGTCTGTCGCTCTAGTGGGACGCGGCTATTACAAATTCCCGCTTTGCATCTGGCTCACGCCCTTTCTTTAGCCGGGCCTCGTGAGTTCATTCTTTAGACTTTGTTCTTGGTTTGCATATTATGAACAGCTTAACTATGAAACGATTAGCATGTTAAATAAAATGTTGCAGATGCAAGCAAACATTGCCTCCTTGGTGTTTCTTGACCGGTGCAAATAAGCAACAAAATTTCCGACTCGCAGAGCAAAAAATGATTATATTGCGGTCTGCTTCATTGTTGCACGAGATACACACATTTTACGACAGCAGATGTCCAATCAACTGCAAATTTTATGATATGAGATTCTCCTCTTAAAACATGAAATAAATCGTGAAAATCAACAGCGCCACATTCAGTAATATTTAGCACAACCTAGCAAGCGTTACGTATGGCCTGATAGCCGACTTTTACTTTTAGGAGCTTACTTGAATTCCACATCACCTAAAACGTCGCAAAACCTTCAGTCGACTGCACGACTGCAGTTTCTATGAACCGGACTCTGAAGATACAAAATTCAAAGTTTGACACGTCTAAACAATAAAAACAAACAAATGGGGCTCGTGAAGAGTAAAAAAAAATTTTTTTGTGACTTGGTTGTTTTAAGTAATTCTGAAAATTATTTTGAACGTGGACATCAAAATAGTCACTGCCCTATATTTTCAGCGGTAATAAAGTGAAAATACGTTCTGGCTCAATGTTGGCGCAAATTCTTCACATTTTGGCAAAATATATTATGATATAGAAGGGTCAGTGCTTGGGCATAGTATGGTGCAAATAGCGCAGCAATCACATAATCATCTGAAATGCTGAGACAAGGTTTTGGGGCACAGCTTGCACTTATGGCTTGTCACCATTGTGCGTTCGATCATGGCAGATCAGATTGCAACGCCAAGAAAAGGCTTGGGGGCACAGCTTGCACTTAAACGGTTTTTCACCTGTGTGCGTTCGATTATGGCTTTGCAGATTGGAATTTTGAGCAAAAGCTTTGGGACACAGCTTGCACTTAAATGGCTTTTCACCAGTGTGCGTTCGATTATGCGCTCTCAAATTGGAACTTCTAGTAAAGGCTTGGGGGCACTGCCTGCACTGAAATAGCTTTTCATTAGTGTGCGTCCGATTATGGCTTCGCAGATGGGAATTTAGAGCAAAGGCTTGGGGGCACTGTTTGCACCTAAATAGATTTTCATCAGTGTGCATTCGATTGTGTCTTTGCAGACTCGAATTTTGAGCAAAGGCTCTGGGGCACAGCTTGCACTGGAATGGCTTTTCACCAGTGTGTGTTTGATTATGCTCTCTGAGATTGGAACTTTTAGCAAAGGCTTTGGGGCACTGCTTGCACTTAAATGGCTTCTCACCAGTGTGTGTTCGAATATGGCAGATCATTTGGGAATGCCAAGCAAAGGCTTTGGGACAAAACTTACACTTGTATGATTTCACACCGGTGTGTGTTCGATTATGGCAGATCAGACTGCTACGCTGAGAAAAGGCTTTGGGGCACAATTTGCACTGAAATGGCTTCTCACCAGTGTGCATTCGATTATGACATATCAGTTTGTTATTCTGAGCAAAGGCTTGGAGACAAAATTTACATTTGTATGGTTTTTCACCTGTGTGGGTTTGATTATGTCTGGTCAGTTCTATGCTTTGAAAAAAGGCTTTGGGACATATCTTGCATTTAAAAGGCTTTTCACGCTTTTTACACCCTTCACGAAAGTGTGTTTGAGTATGTCTTTTCAGATGAGAATTCTCAGAAAAGGCTTGGGGGCACAGCTTGCACTTAAAAGGCTTCTCTCCAGTGTGTGTAAGATAATGGCTTCTGAGATTACAATTCTGAGCAAAGGCTCGAGGGCACAGCTTGCACTTGAAAAGTTCTTTACTCCCGCACATTTGAGCATTGCTGGGCACTTGGGATCTAGAGCCAGATGAGATGGGAGGATGCTGGCACTTGAATTGTTCATCACCATGGGCAACCAGGTGGCTCAAAATCCCATGCTGATTTCTGGTGACATAGGTGCAGGAACAGCATCTGAACCAGATGTCCTCGGTGGCTTTCAATGGGCAGCTGGTCTCTCCCAAAAGTGCAGCTCCCTCTCCTACAAAGCCTCATGTGTATTAGCACACTAGGAAAGCACAACAAAGATAGCCACATGTTTTAGACATAAGCAGCCATTATTGTACTTCTGCTTCAGCCGAGTGATTTTTCTTCTTTTACTTTTTATTTCAGTTCAAAGAAGCACTGAAATAGAGTTGACTCTATTAACCATTTTGATAGAGTGAACCAGATAGCCTCTTTAAAAACCTACGACCAGTTCACGCTTTCCACTTTTTCCTCCCTTCCTCCTCTCCCTACTTCTGCCCTGTCCACCGTTGCCTGTTTCCTCCTCCCCTAGAGCGAGGAGGATATCCTGCCTTGCAGAACTCATGTCTGGTAGTCGGCCTTTAAGCACTTATTTTGTTTCATAAATGCTGCTTTTTAAAGTGAGTTTTATATGGGAACTCTATATGGGGGGGGGGGGGGCACGCTCATGCTGCTTTGACTGAATCAAGTCTCAGTGTCACGACACAACAGTGACATCAGTGTCATGTAACACCAGTGTCACCCGACACCATAATTTCCCTGCAAAACTTATCCAGAAACCATGCCATTGACGTCACCTGACCATGCCAATGGCATGGTATCATCTAAATTTAGTGAAAAACTGATGTCAGTTGATTGTCATTTCATGGCATCATGCTAGTTTCAGCAAATAACTGGTGACGTGACACCGTGACTTCAAACCAAGATGCCAATTTTTGTGCTAAATTTAGCATGAAGATTTGCGGGACATTATCATATCATGTAATGTCAGTCACCTCGGCTAACACAATGCCAGTGTCGTGTGCACTATGACTCGGCACCTCAAGTCAATTTTCTTGCTAGATCAGGGAGAATCAATATCACGTGACCCCATGACATCACCATGTCACGTGCTGGGAAATGAATAAACAATATGTTCACTTCCCGAAATTACTGTTTTATGTTGTCTAAACAAATTTAAACAATCACACTTTTAAATGCTGCATTCCATGCAATATGGGACTTTAGAGATAAACACAGCTGCCTACTAAAATGGAGATGAACATTACTGCCAATTGCTCAACTAGGTTCCTGCAAGTTACTCAACTAAGTGTATGCACTTATTTCTGGCATTGTGTCTACTAGGTCATGTCATCAATGAAAAATCTTCCCATATATTTGCCGACACTGTGATCTTTACCTAGCCCAAAAACCTTAAATAGAAAAAAAATTGAGAATTGATATTCTTTAGGAAACTTAATTTATATAAAAACTAAACCCAGAACACTCTCTGGTCTAGCCAAAAAAGAAACTTGGAAAAAGCAGAATAGGTAATCTTTAGTGCCAGTGGGTACAGATAAACTTTACGACGCTCCAAGCTCCTCCATGCCATTGTTGGGTCCACACGGTGATGCACTGTAGTATCACTCAGGGGTAACACAGCACGCTTGCCCCACTTTGAGCACCATGCATGACAAAGAATTTGGAATCATTTTGGCCCATTCCATCTGAAGAGGTTGCAAGCTTTGTCTTTTTTAAAGGGCCCCGAAAAGGAATTTTTTTTTAAAATCTGGTTGGGACACGCGTGTCAATAAATTAATTTTATGCACAAAAAGAAAACAATTTTGAGAGCAATACTGACGGCACGAGACGCTATTTAGTCGGCAGTCACCTCCTTTCTCGACATTTCGGGCGCGTGGAGGAGAGGTGGATCGTCTTCACCTTCACGACCGAGATGGTCATTCTGGAATGACCCGTGGCGTCGTGGACTTTGCACAGAGAATTTCAAATAAATCTCTCGCCGTCAATATTGCTGTAAAATTTTTTTTCGCGTAAAATGTTTTTGACACAAGTGTCCCAAGCAGACTATTTAAAAAAAAAAAAATTTTTTTCTTTTCAGAGGTTTTTTAACATAAAGACAGTGTGGTCCAACCAGCTTTGAGTTTGGAGCAATTTTTGGAGCAGAAAATATCACGTTATGGAGCACCTTTTTTTTATCAGGAAAAATCTCTTTTTAAAGCAGCATTGGAGCAGCACATGCGCAAGTTTGGAGAAATTCGGTGCAGTTTCCTATTAGTAAATGCCAGCCTGCATTCATGCGATCAGTTACGTGATGCCCAATGAAAACCCAACGTTAGCAGTTATACTGTATTACACTTGGTGACAGGTTGAGAGTAAAGTGGAAGCTCCTCCCCACTCTTTCCACTTTTGCAAAGCGAACGCTGAAGAGAAGGCCTCCAGTGTTCGTTCTGCAAAAGTGGAAAGGTGAGGAAGGAGCTTCTACTTCACTCCTAACCTGTCATTAACTATAGTCAAATTGCCCTTCGACTGCTGTGAAGCTGTGCCATAAACAGTTTGATTTGTGTTTTCTTTTAATTAGTGTCAGTAGACATAGATTAATAGGACTGATGTAAGCGTGCCAACTATAACCATTTGGGAAGTCGCTGTAGCGCACCAATTTAACTTTAGATTAGGCGTCTACGTTTTGGCTAAGGGGCCGGTTTGGGTCCCTTTTGCAGTCTCTACGGTTAGAAAATAAATAAGATTACATAAATGAGGAAATAATAAAGTCACGTATTGAAATACAACAATTAAAAACAGCAAAAAAAGTAAGGTAGCTGAATACATATAAATTTTATGCTTAAAAGTATTATATAGCTAATTTGACAATACAAAGTAATTGTTACCCAGAGAACTCACCAGGCACAAATCTAAGTGCATATATTAACACAGGGCAAAATACTGAGAATGCTAGATTTGATGCTGAAAATGTGCAAGAGTTATGACACAGATAATAGTGACACAGACATGAAACAGGGAACAATGAATATAGCGATGCCGCTGATGACAATGTACAACAAGTACTATGGCGAGTTTTGAGGCAGATTTTCTCGTTCTTTTTTATATCTTCTCTTTCGGCTTTAAAGCCTTTCGCAACGCCGCCTCTTTTTTTTCTTTTCCTTTTCTTTTTTACGCGACTTTATTCTTGCTTTTGTAGCAGTGGTCTGCGGGCCGGGCATCAGTAGAAATTAAGACCGCGGCCATTTGCGGGCCGGACGGAGCGGCTCCGCGGGCCAAGGGTTCGAGACCCCTGCTGTAGATAGAGAGGTAAATTGGCACTATACAAAGTCCTATCACGTAAAACAAGCAAATAATCAATAAAATATTCTGGGTTTTCCCTAATTTATAGACATTTCAACGAGACGTGCTGCTTGGTGCCTATGCCGCAAAGATAAGGGACACATCTGACTAGAGCGTAGGGTACCGCGGTGCACCGAGTGCCATCGCTTGGACACGAGCGGGACAACTGCGCTCACACCTACGCTACGGTGATGCGAGAAGTGTTGGCAAACGGCGACGGTGTCTTAAGCATGGACGAGAAAGGGGTAGAGGAGGCCGCACCCGACGTCGAGACCGAGGTCTCCGCTGCAGCCAGTGCAAAAGAGGCCCCGGTCGCTGTACCAGAAGAAGTGCACCTTCCACGATTGCAGCCCAAGGGGGACGCTGACCCTTCGCAAGTGTTAGGCAGCAGTCCTGTCGTCTCGAGCGATGTCAGAGTGTCCGTTTCGAAAGATGACGAGACTAGCCAAGCTCCGGAGCCAAAAGACACGAGCGAGGCCAGCTTGAGCGACGACCACTCGGAAATGAATGATGCGAGTGAATTCTTCGAGCAGCCAGGAGATGCATCGGCGCGCTCCGAGATCAAGCGGCACAAGAACAATGCAGTGAAGGAGCGCTTCAACCAAAAGTTGCGCATTCAGACGGAAGTGTGACGCCAGAGAGCCAGTTCCTTTTCGTTTGTCTCTTGGCTACCTGCTCATCTCTCGATGGTGATTTGTCGCTTAACTTTGTTTGCAGCCCCTTTTCCATGGAATGCAACTACTCAAGTTTGCAACCCTCAATTGTGTCAGTCTTGTGGCTAGAAGAAGAAAGCAATGGGTGTTAGAGACTTTTCTGCAACTGCGGGTTGATGTCACTTTTTTGCGAGAGACCAAGATTGCCACAGACGGCTAAGAGAAGGAGATGACGCGCTATTTTGATCGTCACTTTGTTGTCTTCCTGTCGAGGCCAACTGGGCAGAGCGGGGGAACGGCGATAACCATCTGCAAGAGCAGAGGCATAGCAGTCTGGCCCGAGTGGGAAGGGGATAGACACAGGCGGGTGTGTGCCGTGGAAGTGCTGCACTGTGGACATGTTCACAAACTTGTATCTGTGTTTGCACCTAATGACGCGACTGGTGGAATCGCAGCCACCCCACAGAGCTGCGGTGGCAGAGAGGAACTACCTCAATTGTAAAGACTGTCAGAAAGCGTGCTTCTTTATTCATCCGCGACCATTGACCAGAGTAGCGGCCCAGAGCTCAAGCTGACTACAAAGCATGCTCTCAAGTGTGCGCCCACAGCGCTACCGTGCCACGCACGAAAACTACAGTGTTCTAGAGGGTGTAGTGACAAGAGCGGCGCCCGCTTACAATGAAGCGCATGAAGACGGTCGACGTAGATACCGCGAGTGGCGCTGGAGTTCTGTGCCCTAGGAGAATTAAGGGCACGTGTGTGATGAACGAAGAAGACGACGAGGGCGACACGGTAGGCTTCTCCAAAATGTAGCACCGTAGAACTTCTTTCGCAGCTATTAAGCCTGCCGCCCAAGTGATAGCGTTGCTGAACAATGTGTCAGTACTGGGGGGGGGAGTCAATATTAATTAAATAATCTCCCTCAAAACACGCGAATATTTCAAGTAGAGGATAGCACACACTCTAGAGGCATTAGTCCAAAGGCAGAACTACAATTTACTATACTTTGTTTCACCTTATGTTGTACCGCAGTGGGCGCGTTCAGTAGCGGCCCCGGAGTCAAGGAGTCACTAACTCCTTCCACTGGACGGCCAAAAGTCACTTCCGGTGCACGTAGCTCCGGGGCATCGGAGTCAAGCTCCGAAGCACCGAGTCCGGAGACGGTGCACGTAGAGTCAAAGGAGCTAAAATGACGTAATTTCCTGACTGGTGACGATTTCCGGTGCTAAAAGAGGAAAAAACAAACAATATGGCGGGATAAGCTGCTTCGGTTCAATCGCGGGTGCGCGGTTTGCTCGCTTTTGTTAATGAAAAGTGCTCAAGGTAAGACGAATAACGCGTTCGAATGTCTTTTTCAGGTAAGGCTCTTTCGGAAAATGCATTGGACCGTATTTTGTTTGGTTTGAATATGCTAATAAACGATGCAAACGTTCATTTGACACCGTGTCTTGATCACCGTTGCACGGGAACTTGGTGAATATCGACGATAGTCCTGTCCGCGCTGAACAGAGCAAGGCAGGGTATGAACGCGACTTTGGAAGCCGGTTGGACAGTCACGCAGAGCATGATACCGATTAATGTTTTGTTTGCGTAGCTAAATCGGGGTGCACGTTGGCCGAGGCTCGCTTCGGCCGACAAAACCTTGATCGCCGAGCGCGGCCGAACTTCCCGTGTGTATACGAATACATTTTACGAAGGGCAGAAGAAACTTATGGCCGTATGAAAGTATCGCAACCGGCGGGGTAGATTCGCTGAGCTTTGTATTTTGCGTGTGCTGACAACGTTTTTTATCGGCTTTTATAACAGCAGCTGCCTTTGCACCGCCAAGCGAAGGACTCGATCGCGTTGCATCGCTTCGAACAGCAGCGCTGATGTGTACAATCACCCGCTTCTTCTTCAACGACCTTGTAAAGACTTCTTCAATACCGGTGTCAAATAAAAGCGATCGTGCTCGCCATCGTCTGCTTCCAGTTTATTCGGAGACTGTCTGGCACAGGGGAGGAAGCGGAAGTTGCGTAGAAGCAGGTTTGGAGCCGCGGGTTTTTTTGCCGTTCAGTAGGCGCTCCGATGACTCCAACTCGAGGCACTCCGTTCGGAGGCAAGGGAGGCGCTACTGAATGCGCCCAGTGAAGGCCAGAAGCGCGAGCTCATAGCGTTGGCAGCTGCTCTTAATTCACCAGAGCTTGTGCCGCCGAGATGTGCCCCAGAGCAAGGAGCTCGCGCTTGTAGCCTTTCCTGCGATACATCATAATGTGAAACAGAGTATACAGAACAACATTAGCAGTTTCGCACCGCGAAAAGCTCCAGTCAAACCACAGTAGTAAGCGCCGAACAGCGCTGATGATGGGCTGACGAGGGCGCGCTCCTAGGGCACAGAACAGCAGCGCCGTGGTGTCGTCTATGCGCAAAATCTTCACAAAGCGGCCGCCGCTCTTGCCACAACAACCCCCTCTAGAACACTGTACTAAAACGAAACTCGCATGGAGCAGCGCGTGCAGTTGCGCGTGCTGCCTCCTTCCGTGATGAGGCAACCGAATGTAGGATGGCAACATAAATCCCGCGTTTACCTTCGTGTCTTTCCACGCAGGGGTCTTGCGACTGCACTGCAGACTCGCCGGGAGCTCTTGCGTGGTTGAACACGGTGGGCACGAAGTCAGGGCGGTCCTTGAAGTTCGATGGCCGCCCTAGAATTCAGTGCTACGTTATTGGGGAGGAGGACAGACCGTGACGCTCCAAGCGGTTAACTTGACAACTATACGGATGGGGACAACAAATACAATGACTCAGCGCTCGGCCGACATAACCGAACGCGGCGTCAGCGTTCGGCTGGAGTTCGTGTTCTCCGGTGAGGGGGAGGAGGGGCTCTTTTGTTTCCACTAGGGCCTGCATGAACAATGCAGCATGCACGGTCCCAGCTCAGCACAAAAGCCGAAGTGGGTCAAGCTCGCATTCTCTGAGGATAGATCCGGCACTTAACGTCGCTTCGTCGATTGTTAGTATTTTTTATTTTAAACTGTGCCCCGCGCTCTATTGTAGAAGATGACATGGACCTGCCCATAAGGCCTGTCGGCATGTGCACAGGCCTTGTGTTGAGTAAACACCGAGCGTGGGGAAAACAGACGGGTCAGAGCGCCCCCTATAGTTCGATCTCCTGCCCAATAACCGAGCAAAGCTCGCCAGGAGCTGACGAAGTCGCACCTGTGATGAAGTGCGCGCTGCAGATCTGGCAATCTGGGCTCGGCTCCCACAGCGAACCGTCCGGGTGCACTCTCCTCACTGCAGCTACCCAAGCGGCTCTCTTCTCGGGATACATGAGTTTAGACGGAAATCTAAACAAATTTGCGGCGGCTTTGCCGTAGTAATGGTTGATCCAGCCACAGACGACACAAGAAGCTGACATTTTCACTTGTACCACTGCCTCCTCTATTCCTCCAGTGCCTGGCAGAAGAAGACGAGCAAAGCCAGTGGTCGTCGCCGTCGTCGCTAGTACAACGTTTCGCCACTATGCACCGCTGCTCTAATAGGGTCAGAGCTGTACCATGTTTTCACGTTTAAAAAATACTTATGCTATTAGAACAGAGATTATGTTTAAAGTAAAATGGTATTTTATTTTTCGCGTAAAATATTCAAGCATCTCCAAGGTTGTTTATAGCCGGAGTTAAGTTGAAAAACCACCCTAAGTACTGATCCCGTCCCAGCGTCCCGGTGTAGCAGATTGGAGTGCGCGCGTGGGGGCGGATGGAATCCAACACAATCCACACTGGGAGTACGGTCGGTAAGGTCGGTAACACGTCGGTACGGTCGGTGTTTCCGGTGTTTTGTCGCGCTGATATGCCAGATATGCCGCGCACTTGCGCGGCAGAAAGCTGCTTTAAAAACTTCTCACTTTGCGAGATGCCGTGCCACAAGTTTCCGAAAGACGAGAAACTTTGCGCCCTGTGGTCCCGTCTCGCACGTCCGTCGTTTCCGACCTGGGTTCCGACCAATATTGATCGCTTGTGCGGCTATCACTTTTCCGATGAAGACTACATATGGAACCCCAAGTTGATGAAAAGTGCGGGTCTCTCAACAAAAAACATGCGACTGAAGCCAGGCGTTGTGCCGAGTGTGTTTTCAAAGAAGGGAAGCTCGGACCAGCTGACGCAGCCCCTCGAAAAGCGAAGCGAAGCCGTAAGTGAGCATGTTGTGCATCCAGGATTTCTGAACTTTCCAATCACCATTTGATCTTAAAAGGATACTACAACGAAATTTCGGCGCTCATTTTTTGGTCTATATGTGTTCAAAAGAGCATTATCACATGGAACATACCAATGTCTTGTTAAAAAAGTCTCGAAAAGGAATTTTAAAACGAATTAAACGATTAGCAAAGAGCACCTGGTGGATGTCGCTAACGCCTCGTTTGTAATGCTCGTCTAGGAACATTGACAGCTAGTGACGGAGGTTGTCTCGTCTCCGGCCACGACGAGAGAAGGGGGGAAGGAGGAACTCCCCTCTTCCCGAGAATCCCTTTTGTGTGTCGCAGAAGTCACTATTGTCCCCCTAGAAGATTATAGAAGATTAACCCGTCACTCAAAATTCGTACAAAAGCAACAGCTTCAGTGGCTGGAACGACTAGGCCATCCTCTCGACGTCAGCCTCGCCGTAGCTTTGCTAGTCTTGAGACGACCTACGTCACGATTGCGTTGGATGTCACGTGCTCTAAGCTGGGCCTTCTCCGAGCGCTTTCCAGAGTGGGCCGTTTATAACGAAAAATACAGCCACCAGGATAAAAATACAAACGTGCGATTGTCATTTACGGATATTGTGGATCATATTCAACCTATTTTTGAACACGACGGGAATATTTCAAATTTCGTTGAAGTATCCCTTTAAGTCATCGCATATTCACTAAAGTAAAGAATGGGAGATTCAGTGCAACGGGGCATTTTGCAGTTGTCAGCAGTGATGAGATTTCCCCCTGGTTGTCAGGCGCCCCTGTTTGATGCCACCGACGTCCTGGTCAAAGGTACCGACACTTGTTGGGACACCCAGTACAAAGCTGCAGAGTCATCTGTTAGCGCAGGTAAGTTAATTAACCTTTTGACTGCCAGAATTTTTTCGCTGGCGCATTTTTCTTTGCATGCCGATTCCAATTTCGGTACCAACACAGTATCGTGCTTTATGGAATATATTTACATAATCGGAACACGATATTGTCAGCCTTGCGCGCGGCATCCGATCAAAACGACGACGCCAGAGGAGCCTACTTTGAGCTACGCCGCCATGGCCCGAAGATCGCCGCAAGCTAACCGCCAGACCACGGCGCCACCCCGACGAGACCCTCCGATGCCACAGTATCCTCGACGCCAGGAAGGACAAGTCCACGACGTTCCGTCGAGGAAGACTGACGTGTGGCGAACGGCCGACCGACGCCCGCTCTGCTACCACTGCGGGGAAGCCGACCATGTGTACCGCCGATGCCCATACCGACGACTCGGGCTGCGCGGATTCCACCCAAACGACCCGCGCCCCCGGTGTGGTGAACGCCCTCGGGAGATCGACGAGTACCTGCGACAACCCCAGTCCCCCGAGCCTGCGTCCCGCCGAGAGTTCCGGTCGCCATCGCCACGACGTCCAGCTTCGCCGATGCACCGACCCCGGCGTGAAAGCCTGTCGCCCCTCGCTCCTCGCCGGGGAAACTAGGCGCGGCAACCCCTGGAGGTGGAGTTGCCGAAGACGACCGACGTAAAGAGCCTCCAAGAACGCCGGAGCGCTCCCACTCTCCCGACGCCACGCATCGCTACGACGCCCCTGCAACGGTGTCCAACAACCTAAACGTCGTCATCGACGGTCACGACGCATCGGCACTCGTGGACACCGGAGCAGACTACTCAGTCTTGAGTGGGAGGCTCTCCCGCCGCCTTCGAAAAGTCATGACACCGTGAAAAGGACCCCAAATACGAACCGCCGGAGGACATTTCATCACACCAGTCGGGAGATGCACTGCTCGCGTCGAGATCCACGGTGAAACGTGCCCTGTCAAGTTCGTCGTTCTGCAAGACTGTTCGAGGGACGTTATCCTCGGAATGGACTTTCTCTGCGAGTATGGCGCCGTCATCGACCTCGGAACAAACCGGCTGACGCTACGAAAACCTGCTCCACCAGCGGAGGAACCCGAAGCGACGTCACCCACGGTCCGAGTCCTCGCAAACCACGTAAACCTACCACCGCGGTCGAGTGTTTTCGTACTTGTCGGGATCGATGAAGCTTCCTGTGGCGAAGTTCTTCTCGAGGGAAGCCTCCAATTGCTCCTGGGAAGAGGCATAGGCGTCGCAAGGGGAGTAGCTGAACTTCAGGATGGGCGGACTGTGGCCCTCGTGACGAACTTCCGAAACGAAACGCAACACCTCACGAAAGGTGCAGCCGTGGGCCACGTCGAGAAACTCCGAAACCCCGCCGAAATCACTGCGATCACTGACGAATCCTCGCCGCCCCAGCAAGACAGTACGTCGCCAGCGCAGCTCGACATTGACCCTAAGCTTCCGGACCCTGAACGGCGTCAGCTGGTTAACCTCCTCGCCGAATACCGCGACTGCTTTGCGACGTCGTCGAAGGTGCGCCAGACCGCGGTTGCCAAGCACCGCATCGTTACTGAGGACGACGCGCGCCCTGTGCATCGATCGCCGTACAGAGTCTCCGCTAAGGAAAGGGAGGTGATCCATCAGCAAGTTCAAGAGATGCTGAATGACGACATAATCCAACCTTCAAGCAGTCCATGGGCCTCTCCAGTCGTGCTGGTTAAGAAGAAGGACGGAACTCTTCGGTTCTGCGTGGACTACCGGCAGCTCAACACGGTTACGAAGAAAGACGTCTACCCACTCCCCCGCATCGACGACACTCTAGACCGGCTGCGCCACTCTCGATACTTTTCATCGATGGACCTGAAGAGCGGCTACTGGCAAATCGAGGTCGACGAACGGGACCGAGAGAAGACAGCCTTCGTCACGCCGGATGGACTGTACGAGTTCAAGGTGATGCCCTTCGGACTATGCACAGCGCCAGCAACTTTCCAGCGTGTCATGGACACTGTACTGGCAGGGCTGAAGTGGCAGAGTTGTCTCGTCTACCTTGACGACGTCGTAGTATTTTCAGCTGACTTCGACGAGCACTTGAGACGACTCCGAGCTGTTCTTCAAGCCATTCAGACCGCCGGGCTCACACTCAAGCCGTCAAAGTGCCGGTTCGCCTATGACGAACTGAAGTTCCTTGGCCACGTGGTTAGTAACGAAGGCGTCCGCCCAGACCCCGAGAAGACTCGCGCCGTCGCGGCATTTCCAGCGCCGACAGATAAGAAGGCCGTGCGAAGATTCCTTGGACTTTGTGCCTATTATCGACGCTTCGTTCGGGATTTCGCAAGGATTTCCGCACCACTTACGAATCTCACGAAGGACGCCAAGAAGTTCGAATGGGCCGAGGAGCAACAGCAGGCATTCGACGAACTGAAACGACGACTCCAGACTCCTCCTGTGCTTGGACATTTCGACCAGGATGCGGAAACAGAAATTCACACGGACGCAAGTAACGCGGGACTGGGCGCAGTACTAGTCCAAGTGCAAGAAGGCATCGAGCGAGTCATCGCCTACGCAAGTCGGACATTGTCCAAGGCGGAGAAAAATTACTCCACAACTGAGAAAGAATGCCTTGCGGTCGTCTGGGCAATAACGAAGTTTCGTCCGTACTTATACGGCAGCCCGTTCCGTGTAGTCACGGACCACCACTCGCTCTGCTGGCTTGCGAAGCTGAAGGACCCGTCAGGACGCCTCGCTCGATGGAGTCTTCGACTACAAGAGTTCAACATGACAGTGGTCTATAAGTCAGGCCGCAAGCACAGCGACGCCGACTGCCTGTCCAGAGCCCCCGTCGAAACCCCCTCCGGCTGCAGCGACGACAATGACGACGAGTGCTTTCTAGGAGCAGTGAACACCGACAATATGGCACGACGTCAACGGGACGATCCTGAGCTGCGCGCATTAATCGAGCACCTGGAAGGGGGCAGGAGTACCGTGCCACGTGTCTTCTCACGAGTACTGCCGACCTTCGCCATCCGACAAGGTGTACTCTACAAAGAGAACTTCGGCAACAACAACACACCTTGGTTGCTGGTAATCCCGAGTGACCTTCGAGAGGAGATCTTCCAAGCCTGCCACGACGACCCGACATCCGGACACCTTGGTTACAGCCGGACACTGGCCCGTATTCGTGAAAAGTATTACTGGCCGAAGCTCCCCAAGACCGTCCACCTATACACACGATCATGCCACGAGTGCCAGCGACGCAAGAAACCGCCGACGAGGCCGGCCGGACTTCTGCAGCCCATTTCTCCTCCAACTACACCCTTCCAGCAGATCGGAATGGATCTACTTGGTCCTTTTCCGCCTTCGACGTCGGGGAACCGCTGGATCATCGTCGCCACAGATTATCTCACGCGGTACGCCGAAACGAAAGCTCTTCCTTCAGGGACTGCTGTGGAAGTCGCCAAGTTTTTCATCGAGTACATCGTCCTCCGGCACGGCGCTCCCGAGGTTCTGATTACAGATCGCGGATCTTCGTTCATGGCCCAGCTGACGCAAGAGATCCTTCGTCTCAGTGGCACCGGCCATCGTCGAACCACTGCATACCACCCGCAGACCAACGGACTGACCGAGCAACTCAACAAGACAATCGCCGATATGATCTCTATGTACGTCGACGTAGAGCACAAGACGTGGGACGAGGTGCTGCCCTACGTCACGTTCGCCTACAATACGGCGGTTCAAGAGACCACTGGATTCACCCCTTTCCAGCTGGTACATGGTCGGAAGGTAACGACCATGCTGGACGCCATGCTGCCCCATGAGCCATCTGACAACGAGAGCGACGACGCCCAGGCGGTTGCTCAACGCGCCGAAGAAGTTCGCCAGCTCGCCCGACTCCTGATTCAAGATCAGCAACGCGTCGACGCCGGCCGCTACAACCTTCGTCGCAGGGACGTCCACTTCCAGCCCGGAGATAGGGTGTGGGTATGGACGCCCATCCGTCGCCGCGGCCTCAGTGAGAAACTGCTGAAACGGTACTTTGGACCATACAAGGTACTTCGTCGCCTCGGCGAGCTGAACTACGAGGTGATGCCCGACGGAACACGAACATCGTCACGCCGCCCACCACGACCTGAGGTCGTCCACGTCGTGCGCCTGAAGCCGTACTACGCTCGATAGGACTGTGGACCTTTTGTGCTCCAAAAGACTCTTTAGTTTATCGTTCTTTTTTATTTTGATTTGTTTTACACTGCATCGGGGCGATGCACTTTTAAAGGGGGGAGTAATGCCGCGCGCAAGGCTGAGAAAGCAACGCTCGGTCACGGTCCTCCAGAAAGTTCCCGTTTATTCATGTGCCGCACGTAACTTCTATCATTTTTCCCTGCTTTTGTTTTCTCAGCCTTGCGCGCGGCATTACTCGTCACCACCCGTGACAATATCTGCATATGTGTCCAATCTAGGACTTATTTCTCATATTGTACTTTTTGAGACTAGTCATGGTAGCATCCAATATGGCACTTCAATCATTATTCGGAACTGTAACATCCTTGCTTTTAAAGCCGTGGAATTCAGTGTTCATTAGTAATTTGGGGATCACCGAATTCATCGTGAAGTACAAGGTTGAACAATATATAGGGCGCCCCAAGTCAGCTGACTTTATCTGAAATGGACTGCAAAAATTGATGCCTGCATGTAGGAATCAAAACTTTTCGTCAAAGGGGTATTTCACAGGTCAGTTTTTTCTTGTAAAATTACGAAGCGTAGCTCCCTTTCTGTCAAAATTAAGGCGAAGAAACTTGCCAGGGTCAACGACGGACGGCGATGCAGACGACCAAGTCAAGTGGTGGGCACGCTTCGCGCTCATACTGATAGATGGTGCTACCTCCTTATTAGCCCCGAGAGCGAACACAAGCGTCGCTGCGGTCGCCGCGCCCTGATTGGGTGAGGTGGACCGTGACGTCAGGGCGATGACTCCGCTCCGCAATCTTGCATCGGCTCGCTTCCCAGC